CAAGGTCCTTGTCTTGTTGGAAAAATCGAAGATAAAAAATGAGTTTCTTTGTAAAATTTTGATTTCGAGTGTTTTTCCAAAAGGGAACCGGAAAGAGTTTAGCAATTCATAAACTACATATTTATTAGGCTTTTTGACTATTGAGAGGGCTGAGTTTGCATGTCTAGACTTGTAGTAGAAGAAGAAGTACTTTGTAAACTTCTCTCCTTGTTCAATTCACCTTGCTTTTAAGAGAATTTGCCAGTAGTATTAGCTCTTCCTGTATCAGAAGTTGAGATCCTCATATGCAGAGTATAGTTGGGTCTTCTGCAATTTGTTTTAAAACTTTGTAAGTTTTTTTGTTAATTTTTGAGATCTTGTTTTCTGGAGCTTTTGGTTTCCCACTCTGTTTAAGAGTTTATTTTTAAAGTTCTTGTTAAACCTCCAACTAGAAGATTGATTGATCTTCTGTTTTTTAGCAAGAGTGTATTTGATTAATAAATAGTCTGAGTTGCCAAAGAGCAGCTTTGTGAATGATATAAGATGTTTATAGTTCTCATCTATAAAGATATAATTGAATCTAGTTGCCATTGTTTGGTTGTTTTGAACCTTTTGATGAAATGTAAGAACCGGTTTTTGTTCTGCATATAGAACAGAGTCTATATAATTCTTTACCAAGTCTTTGAGTTGGGTTTTAGTGTTGTTACTTTGAAATGTAGCTTGGCTTATTCTGTTTATAGTAGGATCTAGATTTCCTGCCAGAATGTTGATGATGTTTCCTTTGTATTGTGGTCAAAGAAAGCTGTTCTGTCCTTTATATTTGGAAGAGCATAAAAATTTGTAACTGAGAAGAATTGACCTCAATATGTAAAGCTTGTAAAGATTACTCTTCTTTCATGTGAGACCTTTATATTTTGAAATTTTATATTTTTTCTTCCTGCCAATATCACAGTTCTGCTTCTTAATAAAGTTTGTGTTGCTTGATTGTTTAAATTTGTTTCTTGTAATAGTATTAAATCTAAGTTATATGATTTTAAAAGTGTTATTGTTTTTTGTCTTTTGTTCTGATTATTAAGTTCCTTTATATTTAGGGTAGCAATTTTAATTATTGCCTTAGTTATTAGATTATCTGGGTAGATATGCACTTATTAAGCTTTTGGAGAATTCTTCTCTGTTCATCCTTTTTGTATAAAAATTGCTTTACTGTTGCTTGTTTATGTAAGTTTTTGATTTGTTTTAGTATAGTAAATTGTATTTGTATTTCTAATAGAATAGCCAAGTAATATAAATCTACAGTTTAGATAATTATAGTATATATTTATATTTATATTTTTAATCTCATAGCTTTGGTTATATCTATATAGAGGTTTATAACAAAATAAGCTAGAATATACTAACAATAATGTAATACTAACTAATAAACAAGAGTCCAAGTTAGAAGTAAAGTCTTTTTCTATTGGAATTACTGACAATATATTCTCTTGAGGAGAGTTATTCTCTTTGTTATTATTTCTAAATGATAGGCTATCTAGTGCTAGCTCATCTCTTGTGGTTGCTTGTTTAGCTTCTTTTTGCAAGTCTTCTATTTTATCAACTATACTAGAAGAGACATCCTTATCTCTTGTTCGTCTGTTGTTTCTATACTTATTGTTTCTTCTTTTGGTTCTTCTTTCTCTTCAGTTTTCAGAAGACTTTCTATCTCTTGAGCTATTTTGCTATAGTTATCTCTGTCTCTTGTCTTGAAGGCTTCCTTAAATTCTCAATAATGTTGTCTTAATACAACTGATTCTTTGTACCAAGAACATTTTTTTTATATATCCCTTTTGGTCATAGAAGTAGCAATCTTTAGAATTTTGTTATCTCTGAGATGAGTGAAATGAGGGATTTATTTTTCTAGATCTGTATCTTCGGTTATGTCAAAGATAACAATCTACTGATCAGTTAAATATGGCGTTCCTTCAATTACTAGTAGTTTGATTGAGGCTATTTTGCCAAAATCTTGAAATGTATCTTTAATTAGTATTGTTATTTCTTCTGGAAGAAAAAACTTGTGTGAGTCTGTTGAGATATAACCAAAATATAATTTGTTAAAATATTTATACCCTTAGTTACATCATAGCTAAGAGTATTTTTGTTGGTAAAGATAGTTTCTAGATGTGTATAATTGATTACCTTTTTTGTAATGTTGCTTTGCCGCTATAATATTTTGCTTGACACTTTCATAAAGTGAAATCATTATTTTATTAAAAGAGCT